TTTTTAGTTTATTGGATTTGGAGAATGCAATCCTATAAATTACACAGCAAATTGATTGAATATGAAACCATGACTTTATTGAATATAAATTTGTTTTTACATAAGTACAAACTACGAGTTTAGGACAACACACCCAACAGTGTGGGGGTATGAGACGATATCTTCCCTTACTGGTCGAGTTGCTAGGAAGGTTAATGATGACGTCGTACCTCGCACTCTCTGGTGGAGGTGTGGTCATTCGACAGGATGGCTCGTGCTGGAAAGAGACATCTTCTAGTCTACAACAGTAAGTGACTAACTTTATACTGCACTTGTTCTCAAACCGTACCTTGGTGATACCATATTCCGTGCAAGCCACAACCAGGAGCTTAGAACAGCATGAAGCGGAGACGACGTTTTTGAATAGGACAATCGAACCACCAGCATCAGATGTGGTGGAAAGTGAGGAAGAAGGCCTCAAACATCCACGAACTGCATGCGAGTGTCAGGACGATGTCATAGAACGTCCATCTGCCAATGTTGATGCTCCTGCCGATGTTTATGATACAGAAGACAGATAGACCACAAAGAAGAAGAATGAGAACAAGAACAAGAAGAGCAAGAATACGATGTATAAGCGGTTGGAAGTTTGGACATGCGTATGGGTGCTATGGAAAAGAGGCTAGAAGGTGTGGAGGGTAAGTTGAAGTCCAAATGAAAGTATTTGCGACGGATTGCCAGGGTAAGTTTTTCATTAATTAAATTTTGTATTCTTGTATGTTTTCACTATTGGGATCATGTAATATGTCATTTTACGTATAGGGTCAATCAATCGATCCGGCCGACATGCGAAGAGACAAATGAGGCGATGATGCTGGTGGAGCAAAGAGTATGGGAAATGGAGGAATTACTCTTGGAGATGCAACAGACAATGATCTTAAAGGCGATGGACGTGGGGATGGAGCAGGAATGAACCATATGGACGTCATGGAACATATGGACATAATGGTCCAGAGTGCATCAGATGTCCATAGAGAAGCAGGTGTGCAAAAGGCTTATAAAGAACCAGAGTACCCCGAGGTAGTAGAGGTCCACACGAGAGCGGATGTCAAGAAAAAAGTTGTGGAACCTGAGATAGCATAGGTGCTTCGAGGAGTGCCTCACAATGATCCCAAGGACGTTCAAAGTATGGGCGCGTTGGAAAGTACAAAGGTAAAAATGTATCCTCATCAAGTACGATTAAGTTTTGTTTGTTAGTTAACAGATCTTTGTTCAGGACGTATTGGTCGCTGGTGCATCCGAGCATGTGGAAGGCGTTGAGTTCGACCCTATTCGGTACCAGACACCGATACAAGAGGTACGACACAATGTTGCACACATTCATTTTGGCTATTTTAGGAGTTCCTAACTTCACTAACTTTCAGGATCTATATGTCGAGAGTTCTTCAGAAACAGACATCAAGATACCGGATGATCACAAGATGTAAACCTGGACGAGGTATGTCTCCTATCACAGCCATTGCCACGTCTGCAAAATCGTCGCCCACAATGGAAAAGGAAAGTGTCATGGAGGTTACGTGGGTCATTTGAAGTGAAGGAAGATGGGAAACGACAGAAGGTCATACAATACAATCCAGTTGTGGATATCCTGAAGAAGATGTCAAATTTCAAGCGTGGCTTGATGACTATGAGAATAAACGTTCAACGAAAAAGACCCCATATTCTGTTAGAACATAGCGTAGAGCTTGGAAAGACGAATCAAACGCCTTTCGAATCACTTAAATCGGAGTTCAAACAAAGAAGTTATGATCCAGACAAATCAGGAGAAAAATCATACGTGGCGGGTGACATGGACAAATGGGCCACTCAGAAGTTGACATGTGGTATCAAGATGACATACTTATGCTAACGTGACATCAAACAATCAAACAGATGAGAAGACAACATGTGGCGCTTTCAAATTCCACAAATCCATTTCCACAAATTTATCTCAATCTCCATAATTTCTCAATCTCCACTAATTTCTCTAAATCTTCGTAAAATTTATTTTCTTCTTTTACCTTATCATTCATCTTAATCTACACCATTCGTTCTTTGTTGCGCTAAATCCAATGGCAAAAATTCATCCTCGAAACTCTATTTATAGCCACCAATTTCATATTCTTCAACACACCAATTATCGAAGCAAAAGCTACATTTCTCTCTTCAGTTATTTTGCTCTCAAATTTTCATTCTCTCCACACAAAAATTTGTCTTTTTTTTTTGTGAGAGATACATTAGAGTGTAGCTTTTTTAGCTATTGCTTTAGTGCAAAATTTGTCAATCTACCTTAGTGAGGTGTTTTATTTGTATTGCTTATTTTACATTTTGGGTTTTGTATTAAGGTGTGGGTACACCTTAGGTTGTGAAAAAACATAATTGGTTAGATCCTCAACAAGTTAAAAGGATCATGGGTTTCTTTTTAGCCTAGGACAAAAGGATGGTCGATCAGTTTGGTTTTTACCCGTAAGAGAGCCGGTGCAATAAAAATACCCAAGAATGAGTCTTGGGAAGTGGAGTAGGAATTTCCAAACCACTATAAAAATTCATGGTGTCATCTCTCTCTACTCGTTTTAATTTGTGCATTTTAATTTCGTTTGATTTTTATTTATCTTAATTTTTTTTCTA